TTTTCAATTAATTTGATTTTTTTGAATGAAGAGGTAAGAGCAGAATCTAATTTTCTGTTTCAGTGACATACAATCAACGCTGTGGGGTTTAACCTGACTCCAAGGCTGCAATGCATATGCTGCTTTGCATTTGTGCAGGCTCTACAGCACTCTAAGGTTTACACTGAAGAAACAGTGAGTCAAAGCACACATCAGAGCCTGTAATTGTGACGGCATCAAGAGGGCCAATTGGGATGGACTCTTTTTTCAGTTACTCTATGGTTCACATTAAGGATGCTCAACCTATAGCCAGATCACTGAGTTCTAGTTTTCAAACAATAGGAAAGACTTAAGGAGGAAGAAGCAGCATTCTTTCTTGAAAGCAGACTGAATGGAAGTAAAGAGGATGCTCTGCACAAGTGAAGAGATCATTCCTCAAAGATGAAACACTTTAAAAGCAGATAGGACATAAAATTGCAGTAAACTGGGCATGTCCATGATCCAGACATCCTTAGGACCCGCACAAACTGAAAGCTGCCATTAACAGTTTAAACATTTAGCAAAACAACTCATTTTCTTCCAAATTTTATAAGATATGAAATTAATAGACTGCTTATATCCAGCTGTTCCACACTAAGACATGCTAATACTGCCTAAGAGTTCAAGCAAGGTCTTAACCAAACAGCCTACAGCATATAGTTGTAGCAAAGAGGGAACACTTCCCAGAAGAATGAATTCCTGCTTATTAAACAAACAAAAATTTAATATTTTAACCCAAAATAAAAGAAACTTTAGCCAATTCACAAGAAAATGCCATATTTAGAGCCAGGGATAGACAAGTCCATAAAGCTAGAATGAAAAAGTTCAGTCTAAAGGTGAGCACAGGAAGCCAGTAAGGAAAGACAGAATCAACTGGCTTCCACTGAAGATGGAAGAATATCCATGAGGCACAGACACAATGACCTAACAGCTGCCTTGGTTCCCATGACTTTCCACCCCAAGTTTACAATAAATCTTTCTGTTCTCTTTGGTAAGCCTCACAGCAGTGACTCCAACGTTAGCTTAGCACCACAATCACTCCAAATACTTGCCTCTACCAGTAACACTGATATCAAGGGCTCAGAATCCCTTACTTGTCAGAAAACCATCCCAATAACCCAATACCCACCCTCCTCCAAACACACATTAGCAGCTGCCTTTTGCTACTTTGTGGGTTCTTCTTTCTTCCACCCTTCAAACCTCCTAACACTAGATAAGAGAGGAAAAAAGAGAGGAAAGGTAAAAGATCTCTAAATGAGAGAGCAATGATATATTTAGACTATTTCCTGGTGATTAGGGACCTGAGTTCCTTGGGGCAAGTTTGATCAGGTTATCTGATTTCTTCTTATTTCTTCTTAACACACAACAACGAACAAACCAGTTCACCTCTAGAGGCTCTAGCATTTATATACCCTCTGACAAGTCCCCAGAATTCCAATGTCACACAACTGCAGAAATTATCTGCAGCTGGCAAAATCATGTCCCCCTGCCCCGCCAGAGCATGAGGCAAATCACAGCCAATTGCCATGCAGAATCTGAAGCAGCCCCATAGCCCACACCTGGGATTAAAATGAAAACACATTATTATAACTATTTGTGTTGCTTTTTTAAAGAAACTTCAAAACTGTCACTCCACACACTTACACTCCTCTTCTGCCAAGTGGCTCACAGGTACTCCCACTGTCACAAGGAGCCCACATTCCCTAGCTTACACTTTCTCACAGTCTTACCTCCTACAGACACGCCCACACAAACACAGATGACCACCAGGCTCATGTCCGAGCAAACTCAATTCATTCCAGTAACTCCACTAGTCATTCAAGGCTGTGTAACCCAGTGTATATAGCTGATTAATCCCTCATAGAAATGCTTATTGGTGGACAAACTGCCACCCCTACAGAACAACAGAGGCAGAGCAGGAAAGACACTGCAGTCAGACTACCCTTGGAATTCAGCTACTCTACTTTCTCTAATTTTTTTTAGATTTTTTTGTTTTTCCCAAGATGCTCTCCTATCTTGAACTTGTTGAATCCTTTGAGAGCATCGTTAATAGATTCTTACAGAGTCAGAGATTTAGGACAAACCAGAAAATTATAATGTTTCCACTATCTCTAGCAACAAACTGGTTTTCCTTCCTAATACTATTAATATAAAAATATGTTAATATCCAATCAATAATCCATTCATTTTAAAATTAAAAACTTGCTGGGTATGATTTAAGTGTACCTTTAATCCAAGAACTTGGTAAGCAGAGACAGGCAGATCTCTGAGTTTGAGGCAAGCCTGGTCTACACAATAAATTCCAGGACAGCCAAGGCTATGGAGATAAACCCTGTCTCAAAAACCTAAATAAATAGAGGCAGTAAACAAGGGCTGAAGAGATGGTTAAGAGCACTGGGTGCTCTTCCAGAGGACCTGGATTCAATTCCCAGCACCCACATGGCAGCTCACACCTGTCTGTAACTCAGTTCAAGGGCTTCTGATACCCTCACACAGACACACATGTAGGCAAAACATCAATGAACATAAACCATAAGTAAATTGTATACTAAAAGCATCTAACTAGCTAAAAGCTCTAAGTGCCTGTCTTAGAGTTTCATTGTTGTGACAGGACAACAGAACCAAGATATAACTCATATGAAAGAGAACATTTAGTTTAGGCTGGCTTGCAGAGTACAGATGTTTAGTCGATTATCATCATAGCTCAAAGCATGGCAGTGTGAGCCAAGAATTCTATGTCTTGCTCTAATGGCAGACTGGAGGAAACTGTTTTCTGCACTGGGTGTAGTTTGAGCTTATATATGAGACCTCAAAGCCCACCCACATCCAAAGTGACACACTTCCTCCAACACGGGCCCACCTGCTCCAATACTGTAGTCCATACCCCCTAATAATGCACTCCTATGGACCAAATATTCAAACGCATGAATCTATGGGGACTGTTCCTAATCAAACCACCGCGTGCCTCTTATGTCTTTCCCAGAACCTCTCTTAGAAATGGCAGAAAAAGGAACACACTAGTTTCTGTTCTAAGTTCTAAAAGACAACAATGTACTCCCAAGGAGGGGGAAAATCACTTGTGTCCTAGCAATTGAATTTGTCTCTGCTCTATTTAGTATCTGTCCATTAGATAACAAGTAGAAACATGATTGGTTATTTAAAGTACTTGGCGTACGTTACAGGTATGTTACAATTTTTTAAAAGAACCAATGAACAAAAGACACATTCATCCACATTCATTCATTCACATTCATTCTGTAGTCATTACTACTGTTGACTGTGAACCTACCATCAGGGTCAGCTACTTCAAGGTCCCAGAAAGATACAAAAATCAGTTATGAACTCAGTCCTCAAAGACCAAAGCTTGTGTAGCCAAAGATCCTGTCTGACTTCTCATGAATGTCTTCAGTATTCTATTAAGACACACCCACCACACTCACAATTCAGTAAGATTCTGCCTTAAATTTAAAAAAACTCAATGTTAAAAATTCAGACTCAATAAGGCAAATCAAACCACATAGATAAATCTCCTATTCGTTGGTTTTACAACCTGAGAACTTCTGAAAGGTCATCAGAACACATGTAAAACAGACACCAGGTTTCCTTGTACTTTGAGAAAACTACTTGCTTATGAGCCTTTGTTTGCCAGAATCCATCATGGACTACTAACACATAACACAGGAATCCATAAGCCTACAATGTCTAAGTAAAACAAAAATCTTTTCTATGAGCAATAAGTAATATTGATAGAATCCAGCCAAGAAATATACAGTCTTCAGATTTCATATTAAGCTAGTCACTAATTTAGTCTTTTACACTAACTACAAGTAATGATTACCAACCTTCTAAAAAGCACTGATAATAACTTAAGTACATAGACTAGACCAAATACAAGCAATTTAGCCTGTACTCTTAATTTCTGAGACTATCCTCTGGAACTGTAGATTGTAACCAAATCTGTCATCCTTTTTTGAAGGAAGATTTACACACTGTAAGATAAAATAACCCCAGAGAAAGTTATGCCAACCATCTCAATGAGGTGCTGCTATAACTTGTTTCCTAATTGTGACTTTTTAAAATAATGAATATAAAGCTTCAAGTGACTAGGTATCCTAAAAAGCTTAAAACACATTGAATAAACATAGTGAATTCTGCATTCTAATTCTCCAAATGGAATTAATTTCAAAGGTTTCAATTACTTTGGAAGAAACAAAAAAAAAAGCAAAAACAAAAACAAAAAACAAACAAACAAAAAAAGAAATGCCATGAACTACAAAATCACCATGTCGATCACCATGACAAAGAGCAAGTCAGAGAGAAAGGGCTTACACTTCCATATCACTGTTCATTGTTCATCACTGAAGGAAGTCAGGACAGGAACTCACACAGGGCAGGGACCTGGATGCAAGAGCAGAAGCAGAAGCCATAGAGGGGTGCCGCTTTCTGGCTTGCTTTCCTTGGCTTGCTCTGCTTACTTTCTTATAAAACCCAGAACCACACGACCAAGGATTGCACCACTCACAAAGGACTGGGTCCTCCCCAACTGATCACTAATTGAGAAAATGGCTTATAGTTGGATCTCATGAAGGCGTTTCCTCAACTAAGACTCCTTCCTCTCCTGATGACTCTAGCTTGTGTCAAGTTGACGCAAAACAAGTTGACACAAAAGCCAGTACAGTATTTTCCACACTGTTTTGTTAGTGCTAGAGAATGAACATAGATCCTTGGGTTTTTCATGCATGCTAGTGGTCCAAAACTGACTGTCCTGTGTCCAGTCTCAAAAGTATTCTAAAGATCTGAAAACAAAGTGTTCACCAAAGTCAATGGTATCAACATGACTATCAGTTAAGCATCGAGTGTCAGGGTTAGAAGCAGTCTCTCTATAGACGCTTGTAGAAGACTGTCAAAGCCCAGCAGAGGTAGATCAAAAAGCCAAGAGGAGGAGGCACTAAGTTTATGGAACAATCAATGTAAATACTTACATTAAGAAGCAATTCATCTTTTGTTTTAAGAGGAAAATTCTTACTTTCTTTCTCAACTTGGACATCCTCCTCTCCATCTGACAACACAGGAGGAAGTGATACACAGGAGGAAGATGAAGAAGACGACGAAGAGGAGGAGCTTGAGCTATCTGAATCTGTTTCACTGTAGAGGAAAAGTTGAAAACTTGGTCAAGTACTATCATAATTAAAATAAAATCTTGTTTCAAGTAGGAAACATTTCAAACTGACTTTGTGGGTGGGCTATTAGTTTGTTGTTTGTTTTGGTTTTTCTTTTTTTTTCTTTTTTTGGTTTGGTTTTTCGAGACAGGGTTTCTCCGTGTAGCCCTGGCTGTCCTGGAACTCACTCTGTAGACCAGGCTAGCCTGGAACTCTCGAACTCAGAAATCCGCCTGCCTCTGCTTCCCAAGTGCTGGGATTAAAGGTGTGTGCCACCACCACCCGGCTTGTTTTCGTTTTTCAAGACAAGGTTTCTTGTGTAACCCTGGCTGTCCTGGAACTCCCTTTGCGGATCAGGCTGGCCTAGGCCTCAAGAGAGATCTTCCTGCCTCTGCCTCCCGAGTGCTAGAATTAAAGATGTGCACCACACCACCAGACTTATTTAGTTCATTTTTAAATCCTTGACTTACTGCAAGAACAGAGCTCATTAGGATGGAAGGTCGTGAGAAGGTCAGAGTAACACTGGGATGAAGAATAATTGTGGGGAGAAGCCACAAATGTCATTGGCTATAACTCCTAAAGATGTATAAAACCTGGACCCGCTCTGGGCCAACAGTGCCTTGTTATAAATCTCTACAAATATAATTAAGCCTATGTCAATCAGTGACTAATGATAACTCTAGGCCAAGTACCTGCCTGATTCACCTCTGGATCAAACTACTTAATTCTATAACGAGTTTCTTCTTACCTTGGAATTCTTCAAAGTTGCCATGGTGACCACCTAACTCTGAAAACACTAGGCTTGACACAACCAGGCCCCTAACTTCAGCCCATTTTATGTGCTTTTTTTCTCCACCTAGCTCTTCACACCTTCTCTAATAGAAACCATTCTCCCCGGCCTCTCTTAGTGGTTCCTCCAAGTCTCCTCATCATGATTCTATCTTGTCCACCTGCTCAGAAGAAACCCCGCTCACCTCATGCTTACTCAAACATCTGTAGTTTGATAACCTTCTATATTCTGGGTCTTCTTCCACAAAGAACAATACACAGGAGAAATGTCTGTGTAAAGCACAGAACCCCAAATTACCAAGAAACTGGTTTGCAAATTTCATAGAATCCTGCTCCCCATGAAAATTCTACAGATTAACATTAACTGTGAAGAAGCAACTTTAGGAGAATGGTGGTGGATGGCTGCACCACCCTGCACTTGGAGGGTGGAGACAGGAGGACCAAGAGTTCAATGTCAGCCTCCCAGGCTACAGACCAGCAGTCTGGGCTACACGAGATCCTTGCTGGGAAAGGGGGAAAATGAACTTTGAAACGAAGTCATCCTTTTCCTGACCCTCAACTCCTAAGGTTTGTAAAAAAGCAGACTCGATGAAAAAAGTAGCAATCTGAACTGAAACAAAATCCAGAAGTTCTAACCCTAAAGTTAGAACGTTAATCTGAGTTCCTCTGATAACAGAGGAAAGTAATTTTACAAATAAGTTACAAACGTCGAGGTCTCTACACTGTAAACAGGTTACTACCTTCACTTGTAACTTTGCGGACTATGAAGTTTGGAAAGGGAAGAGGGAACTCCCAGAAGTAAGCTGGGACCGTGGGAAAGCAATGCAGCGAGATCAGGGTACCAGCTAGCTCCCAGCGAGCACGTGCGCACAGAGCATCACCTGCGCCGCCCCGCAGAGCGCGCGCGCGCACCACTACCTAGGCCCCGTGTCGCCCGGCCCGTGTCCCCCGGCTGCCGCATGCACTCGACCTGTCCGAATCCGAGTCGGATGAGTCCGAGGCCTGGAGCACTGTTGGCGGCTCCGCGGCAGCGTCCGGCCCGGTGACGCAGGTCTCGCTGGACGGCGGTGGGTTTCCGCCGGCATCCGAGCTCGGGGCCGGCGGCGGCTGCTCCCCGGCCGGCCGGGCCCGCTCCTCCGGCTCAGCGTCCCGGCGCTCCTCAGGTGGCGGCGACGCTGCAGACTCCAGGCCGGAGCCGCCGAACTTGAGCGTCTGCAGCTGCGCGGCAGCCTCCACCACCTCCATGGCGCCGCACGGGCCCCAGACCAGCTCCGGCTTCTCCTCAGAAGACGCGCTCGCCTCCCGGGCCGCACTAAAACTCGTGCGTCTCTCAGGTAACCGCAGGCGGAGCGACCTGAAAACACGCCCCCAGCGTCTTTCAAGGGACTTCCGGGAGGGCGGGTGACGTCATCGACGAGCCATTGGTTCCCAGGGATAGGAGGATTCGAAGTGCAGAGGCAACCTGACTTCCGCGCGGTCCTAAGTCCGTCGTGTTCAGTTCTTTTAATGAACTGTGTTTCTTACTAAAGCCAGGGCTTCCGGATATGATGGGAATGAAGGGATGATTATAGTACTAGTTTCTGTACATGAGAATCTTGAGTCGGGACGTCTTGAAAAGACACTTTTTAGTAATTTCTCTTGAAAGTTAAATGAAAAGCCGGGCAGTGGTAGCGCACGCCTTTAATCCTAGCACTTGGGAGGCAGAGGCAGGTGGATTTCTGAGTTCGAGGCCAGCATGGTCTACAGAGTGAGTTTCAGGACAGCCAGGGCTACACAGAGAAACCCTGTCTCGAACAAAACCAAAAAAAAAAAAAAGAAAAAGAAAGTTAATGATAAAAATCACATTTTCATTCTCACCGTAAAAGAAAAAAAAAACAAACCTATTCTTTTCCCCAGTATGTTGAAAAGGCAACAGTTGTGAAGGATTTTACTGATGATATGGCAACGCTATATCATAGTGGATGCTGCTTCATAGAAATGGTGGGGTGACTCTAAAATGTAGCACTTTAATCTGGACATCTTTTAGTCAGATTGTAAGGCACTCAAGCACAAAGTTTTTTTTTTTCTTTTTTTTCTTTTTAATTTATTTTATTGGATGTTTTATTTACATTTCATATGTTGTCCCCTTACCCCATCCCCACCCACCCAGGAACCCCCAATCCCATCACCCCTCCTCCTTCTTCTCTGTGGATGTAACCTCTATCTACCCCCCCACTCCCACCTCCCCACCCTCAAAATTCCCACCCCCTGGGGCGTCCAGCCTTCATGAGGTCAAGGTTCTCTTCTTCCACCTATGCCCAGCAGGGCCCTCCACTCTTACATTTTCAACTGAAGCGCTGGATCCCTCCCTAAGTGCTCCCAGGCTGGTGGTTTAGACCCTCGGAGCTGTGGTTGGTTGGTATTGTAAACACAAAGTTCTTAAGACTTGGGGAGAAAAGGCAGGTGTTGATGCACGCCTTTAATCCCAGCACTCAGGAGGCAGAGGTAAGTGGATCTTTGCGATTTTGATGCCAGCCTCGGGTGCTGAGCTAGTTCCAGGATAAGCAAAATTACAAAAAAAAAAAAAAAAAGACATAGGAAAAGATCAGAATTATCTGGTTTTCTGGGTCTTTAATTTGATGCATCAATACCTCACTTAATAATATTGCAACAATTTTGTAGACATACATATTCGTGAAGGACTATGTAAAATTTTACATATTTTTTACTGACAATTTTTTTATAAAAGCTCCATAAAAGACTATTAATTAAAGTAAAGGAAGAGATGGAAGAGATAATCCAGGCATTCCTGCACATTAAAATGTTTACAATCAAGTGTGAGTTTTAAAAGCAAAGGTAAGCTGTACAGTGGTGGCACATACCTTTAATCCCAGCACTTGGGAGGCAGAGGCAGGTGGATTTCTGAGTTTGAGAGTTCAAGGCTAGCCTGGTCTACAGAGTGAGTTCCAAGACAGCCAGGGCTACACAGAGAAACCCTGTCTCGAACCCCCCCCCCCAAAAAAAAAAGATGATAGATACTAATGCAATGAATAGACAGTGTTTCTCAAGTAAATCCACATGTCCTAAAACCCCAATTCTATCATTTTTCTTGAAATATGAAAACCTGGTGTAACTAAATCTTAATTTTCTTATCTGTAAAATACAGAAAAAATATTATTTCATTTAGTTTATAGAACATTATATACGGTTTTATGGAGAAGCAAGACTTGTCCAAAATGCATTCAGTATACAGAAATCCCTGCAAAGTGAACCAAAGCTTGGATTTCTGAATAATATGTATCATTGATAATGACCAATATTGCAGAGATGAGCAGCTGAATTTTAGAAGACATTTTATTCAGAAAAATTCTGTGGGCAGCAAAATGTTGTATTTTTTTTTTAGGAATTTCAGGATGATAGCAGTCTAAACTAGAGGTTAAGTCAATGGCGTAGAATAAATGACAATTCAAAATCTTAAGCCTGAAACAAGGTACTAGAAAATTTGTGACCTAGGAAAGAACAAATATGTTGACCTTGCCTGTAAAACTGGAGAAGCTGGAAAACGCTAATGAGTGTGTAAAATTGACTCTGAGGAGAAAGCATCACAATTCATTGAAAATGCCAAAGGGAATTTAAAATACAATGGCCATTCAATAAAAAGTTATGCCCAGAAGCAGAGTTCAAGGATAATTCCAGAACTCACCTGCTCATTCCCAAGTTGTTTATTTAGCATTGTTTTGAGCTATGCACAGCTGAATACCTTGTTTGTACAAGATTAATGAATCACAATCCTACTCAGAAGGAATTTATAATTCAGTAAAAAGATTAGTTGGAAAAGGAGAAATATTTGTGTGGTAGAGAAAGGAATTTTAGAAGCATAGACTATGGCGTCTGGTTTGGTTTGGTTTGGTTTTTGTTTTTCAAGACAATGTTTCTCTGTATAGCTCTGACTGTCCTGGAACTGTTTGTATATCAGGATGGCCTTGAATTCACAGAAATCCACCTCCCTCTGCCTAGAGATTAAAGGTGTGCCTCACCTGGCATTTCTGTTTGTTTTCATACTGTGCATTTTTATGACAGAAATGCGCAGACGCAGAAAACTGAGAATGGAGAAGACCCTTGGTAAGGTAAGAAACTGAAGTATGCAGTCTGGGAAGTAGCGTAACTATTATATTCACAGTAGCCATAACCCTGGCTCAAGCATATTTCAAGGACCTCCTGCAGATCATTTAGCAGTGTGATGCTGCTGGGCTCAGGGATTTATAGAAAACAAGACTTCTTCACACAGATACAACTTTTTTGGACCTTAAAACAAAGCTGACCCTTCTAAGGATAGCTCAGACTTTTCTCTGTGAAGCCAATAGCTGGCTATAGAGATATAATAATATTTTGTAACTGGCCCACATCAAATACAACAATAAGAGGGGAAAAGATCACAAAGCCCAAGAATGCTTTCCACATAGAGACTCAGCTAGCTGGTAGCTACCGTACCTGACTATATCTGTCCCGTGCGGCTGGGCCACCAATGGCCTACTTTGCAGTATTGGAGAGTGAAGGCAGGACCTCTAATATGTTATTCAAGAACACTTACCACTGAGTCCCACCCCTAGCCTTACACTGTCTGTCTTGTTAGACCAGAAGAAAACTCCTGAGTTCCAGCCAGTGTCTAAGATCATCTTTGACAGAAATGGAAACAAAGTGGAGAATTTGCCCCTAGGATAGATAGGGAGCCCCAGGACCGTGCCCCATACCCACCCAGCACTGTAGCAGGCTTTTACATTAGGGTGAGTGAGCTAGACTTTCAAAGAGATCCATGGATCTGTTAATCTGAGAAAACAGGAAATCTTCACTATGGAAAAAAATTAGACAATTTCCTTCTCCAAACCCCAAATATTTGCACTAACAACAACAACAACAACAACAACAACAAAGCAACCTAATTTCCCAGCTTAGGTTACAAGCTCTACTTGATCTGAATGCCGTTTACTCTCTTATTTTTGTCTTCTGCTCTCTCCTCCTCTCTTGTGCCCCATGGTTTCTGGTTGAGAAGTCCTTCAGTCTACCAGATTTATTCTCCATATATGATCTTTTCCCTTTGCTGGTATTATTTCTTTGCATAAGAACAGAAATTATTTACTCATTTTACCTAGGTACATGTAACACACGAGAAGAGACCCCTCAACCAGTCAACTTTGGTACTCAAGTATTAGTCACTACCTATGTTATTATTGATCAATATTTTCCGTCCAATATCTTCAAGTTATACTTATGAAATCAGGCACTACTTATTATATTTATTATCTCTTATTGTCTCTTTTTCTCCTGAAAAATGAAGTCTCATGAACCTAAGAACTTTGTCTAACTATTACAGCTATTCCTTTCCTATCTAGATGATAACAAATATTATGAAGATTTTTTGAAACATCAATTTTGTGTGTGTCCATGTGTAGGGGCAGGTACATGTGGAGGTCAGGGGAAAACTTAAAAGAGCTGGTTCTCTTCTTCCATCATGTGGGTTCTAGTGAACTCAGCTCCTCAGGCTTGACAGCAAGGGAATTAACCCACTGTGCCATTTACTAGCCCCTAGAAAGATATTTGAGTAGAAGAATGAAAGAAAAATAAAACTATATAAAACTTATATTTTATTTTTATATATATTTTTATATTTGAAATAACACCAAAGGTGACACTGCAGTTGTTCATTCTCTGTATATTGCTTCAGCAATATCTAAGAAAGCCACTGTTGCTAATAAAAATCTCTTGTTTCTGAGATGGGGACAATCTCGGTTTTAGGATAAGAATAGCTGTCCCTGTGCCTGGCTTTGAAATAGGTCACTCTTTCACAATTGATGCTTCTTCTAAGTGCTTGAATGTTTCAGAATGTCCTGAATTTACCTCCAGTACTTCCAGAACCTTCCTGCCTACTGCATTATTTCTAATTGCTGCTAAACTTAGCCTGAAGTGTTTAGCCCAAGGCTAACTCTAACCTTTTGGCATCTGAGTACCTGGCACAATCACCTGTAAAATTTCCAGAGAACTTGCCTCCTGTTGATTTAACTCCAAGTCAAAGGCCAAACCCCACTTCAGAATGACACATTATTTAATATGTGAACATAAAGCTTAAGAAGACAATTTAGCAAATATACAATATTCTGTATACTGTTAAGACTGAAAAATTACATTACAAAGAAAACAAACAAAAATGAATCCTAACTAATTCATAAGGCTGCTGCCCTGTATTGTCTATCTTGCTGTTCAAAATGTAGAAGGAGGTTGACACCTGTCACAGGGCACTGAGTAGAATCTTTGACCTTGCATTACAATTCACAGTTTCATT